TCCCTTTCTGCCTGCAGCCCACGGGAATTGTCACCCGAGGCAAGCGCCGCAAAGAGCATTAGTCGAGTGGTGTCTTTTCGCTGGAGCTTCCTCCCTAATTTGCCCTGGGAGAATTGGCTCCTGGGCAGCGCGGGCTGTAGAGAAACAAACTCAGATTAGTGGGGACTGTAGGAGAAGCCTCAAGATTTTACATCTAAAGTAACAAATGTGTCACACTTTCCTGTGTGTGTGTGTCGGTGCGTCTGCAAACGGTGCCTGGTGCAGCTGCACCCACACAGGGCTGTGGTGATACAAACTGTATCTCCTGTGGGGTCCAGATCCAGCCGAGAGCTCCCTCTCCCCTGCAGCCCTGCTTCTGGCCCTCTGATTGTGTCAGTCTCTGGCTTTGTGTGACCTTCTTGTCTCTGTCTTGCTCTCTTGGCTGCTGGTCTCTTCTCTCAAGTAGCTGGCAAGAGGAATTTGGCTTAGGTTTCACCAGGGGAGGTTTCAGTTGGATATTAGGAAGAATTTCTTTCCTGACAGGGTGGTGAGGTGTTGGCCCAGGCTGCCAGGGAGGTGCTGCAGTCCCCATCAGTGGAGGGGCTCGAAAACTTGTAGCTGTGGGACTTCAGGACGTGGTTTAGACTCTTGGTAGCGTTGGGTTGAGGGTTGGACTTGATCTTAGAGGTCTTTTCCAACCTCAATGGCTCTGTGAGTCGTCTGAGGGTGTTGTCACTGGAGGGCTCAGGTCACCCCTTCCAAGGCAGGGCACTTCTGTGAGGCCTCTCAGGGTCACCCCTGTGAGAACGTGGCTCTTTGCTAACACCCTCCTCAGCACAGGAGCCCCGAGGAAGCAGGCACAGACACTGGGCACGGGGCAGGCCTGGGCAGCACGGCTGCTCCTTTTGGCTTCCTCTGGGGCAGGTCTGTGCTCGTGTGTGTGTCTGCAGGCAGAGCTGGGCCTCAACGAGCACCACCAGCAGGAGGCCATGGGCTACCTGCGCTTCGCCCGCTTCCGCCGCGGGCTGTGCCTCAGGACCGTGGACTCCTGCTTCCAGGAGCTGAAGGACAGCAGGTACCCCGGGGCTGCTGCCCAGCAGGGGGGGAGCCAAGTGTGCCAACAACAGCTAAAATGCTTTAGGGGCACTGTGTACGTTTGTGTGTTCTTAGTGAGGAGGAAAGATACAATCGTTGTAGAAACGCAGCAAATTTTTTTGCAACACAGTTATTCAGATTCTTAGGAGTTAACAAAGAGAGTGGTGAGACCCTGGCATGGGTTGCCCAGGGAGGGGGGTGAGGCCCCATCCCTGGGGGTCTTTAAGGCCAGGCTGGAGGAGGCTCTGGGCAGCCTGATCTAGTGGGAGGTGTCCCTGCTCATGGCAGAGGGGTTGGAACTGGGGGATCCTTGTGGTCCCTTCCAGCCCTGACAGATTCTGATCTGTTTTAGCAGAGGACTTTAGAGCCCTAATGGCTCAAGGGTTGGACTTGATGATCTTGGAGGTCCCTTCCAACCTAAAGGATTCTATGAAGATTGTATCAACAGCATGACCTTGCTTTGTATCTTCTGATCTAAACTTGATCTGGCACCTAAACTTGACGCAAGGCTGTAGCTGAAGTAATATTTGTGATTGCAAAGCTTCCAGGAGAGAATTTAAATGCAGTAGCCAGTTAGTGGTGCCAGGATCTGCTAGTCCCTGCTGAGGGTGGGGTCTGCAGGGGGCTGTGGCACTGCGTGAGCGATACCTGTGTGGTGAGGTCGCTGCTGTTCCCCCCTGCCTGCCCCTGGCTGCTCTGTCGAGGCTGGTGGAGGAGACCTTCACGGTGGACGAGGTGGTGGAGATGCTGGACGGGCTGCAGAGGGTCGTGCACGGCGAGGTGGAGTCAGAGCTCATCCACAGCACCTACACCAACGTGCTGCTGCTGCGCCAGCTCTTCTCCCAGGCTGAGAAGTGGTACCTGAAGCTGCAGACGGACGTCTCGGACCTGGAGAACAGGTGACACATGCTGAGGGGTGCCCTGGATGTCAGGGGTGGGGACAAGGCCAAGTGTTGGCTGTCTGCATTCCTGTTGTAGCCACAGGAACCTCTTCCTTCACTGTGGTGACAATGGCAGGTTAGTTTCAGGCCTTGCATCTGTAAAGCAGCAAGATAACATGGTAATTTAAGATTTGCCAGGAAGATGTTTTTTTTTATTGGTTATATTCTTACATGAATTAATCAGCTAAGGCCAGGTGATGGGATTTGAGTTAGAACCCTTTGAGCAGATTGTATTTTAATCAAGGATGCTACATCTTACAGCTCTAATGCATGTACCATTGTGTGACATGATCCGTGGCATTTACTGTATTTCCTTAGGACTTTATTCTGTACTTCTGAGGAGAATCTTAATGCAATAGAGGGCATAGCATCAGCCTAGTTTCAGGCCTTGCATCTGTAAAGCAGCCAAGAAACATGGTAATTTAAAATTTGCCAGGAAGGTGAATTTTTTTTATTGATTATATTCTTACATGAATTAATCAGCTAAGGCCAGGTGATGGGATTTGAGTTAGAACCTTTTGTTTGAGCAGATTGTATTTTAATCAAGGATGCTACATCTTACAGCTCTAATGCATGTACCATTGTGTGACATGATCCGTGGCATTGACTGTATTTCCTTAGGACTTTATTCTGTACTTCTGAGGAGAATCTTAATGCAATAGAGGGCATAGCATCAGCCTGCTAAAATGTCTTTTGTGGCATGGCTCTTTTAGTAAATAAAAGCTTCCCTCTGTTTTTCTTTTCAAGAGAGTTGTTGGAACAGGTTGCTGAGTTTGAAAAGTCAGAATGTACATCTGCGAACAAGAAGGTAGAGTTTTCCTTTAATCAAATCCTAATCAAGTGTCACGTGGAGTCTTGACAGAGGTTTAAAATACTTCGTGTTGACATTTTGTGCATGAGAGAGGAAGAGAAAACTCCCACCCTTTCCCAAAAGCAGCTTTGGAAGCCTCCCCAGAGCAGCATTTTCGGTGGCGTCTGGCCGCGAGGCTGATGCTGGAGGGTGATGGCTGTTCCCTCATGGCAGGTCCTGCAGACCTGGGGCTTGCAGGTTCTGCCTGGTGATCCTCACCCCAGGGGCAGCTGGACCAGGGCTGTGTGGAGGGTCAGCTCCTGGGTTACCTGCCCCTGGAAACTGGGAGGAGAGCAGGACATGCATTTGTCCCAGTACAGAGTCAGGAGCTGGGAAGGGTCCATGGTGCAGATAGAGCTTTAGCTTATTTCAGTCATTACATCTGAATACTTAAGAAAATTACTTGGAGCTGTGGTCATATGTAAACGTTTTTTACAATCAATCAAATCTTTTTTTTCTGCTTTCCTTAGTGCTTTGTCATTTGCTGTACAAAAGAAAGCTAAGTGGACTGTCAACAGTTATTTTGCAGACTAGAGGAATGTTTTTCTTCCTCCTAAAAAATCTGTATAGTTTAATTTTTTTAACCATTATTATTTCCTCAGCCCAGCACAGATCTCACTAAACCCAAACTGGCTCCATTAAATGAAGGTGGGTCAGAGCTGCTGAACAAGGTAAGAACTTGCCCCTTGGTGCCATTGTGGTCAGGGACTGTTCTGCTCATTCCCCTGCACTGGGTGGCTGCACAGCAATGTTCTCACAATGTGCCTGTCACTATATGGACATCACACTCATACACCCCAGGGTATAAAGTAAAATGCTAAGAAATTAATAAATATTGTAAATATCTCGAATTTATTGGTGCACTTGTGGCCATTCACATCTATAGCAATACTGACCTTCCTTTTGCAAAGACCTTCTGGCCTTTGTGATTATTCATTTTTCCATTTAATGAGGTGAATTAGTAGGAACCAGTATTCAGTTTGGTTTGTGCAGCTGGCTGCCTTTGCAACAAGGAACTAAAGGAAAATATAGCTGGATTAAATGATCAGGTATTCAGACATCTTCTGTACCAACTGAAGTCAATCTTATTCCATTCAGCCTTTTTTTGTTGTTGTTGTTAAATTCCTCCTAAAGAAACAGGTGCCTAAAGCCTGTGGAATTTACTAGCTTTGCAAATGTCTCATTTCCCACTTGCTGATGATTTTCAGAGTTCCAAACCACAATCTGGTATTTCAAGTTATTAATAGTTGTTATTAGGTACTGAGCTCCTTTAGTCCAACTGAACTTTTAAGAAATGCCACACTTCTTACAGTACACCTGAAGTTCAGGCAGTCAAGGTGTGTGCTGTGGCCTGCCTTGCCAAAATGGTCTGTGGGGTGTCTGAATCCAGTTATTACTCATTGGGATGACTAAAGCATTCAGGCATCCAGATTTCATAGATCCCTTTCAAAAATATTTTCAAATTCTGTTTCATACCTGGTTTTGGTTGAATATGTTCATCTGATTTTTTTTTTTTTCCTCCCAAAATAGTTTGGAGTTTATGGTGCCATTAGTCTGATAAAATGGGGTTATTTCCTGTGACCCAGAGTGTGCTATGCAGCACCCAGCATTTGTCTCCTTTAAACAGGAACTATGAATAAATTCTGACTTGCCTGTTGGCTGAAAACCCAAACGATGAGCAGCAATGAGATCTGTCTCTCTGAACAGGAGATTTTCCTTATTGTGACTCTTGATACTAACAAGATGCTGAGCTGACTGATCTCCATGCAGCAACACGTGCCAGATTTGGGTGAAAGGCTCTATATATTGCAGTAGAATTGGAGACTTTTTATAAGCATTTAGGAGCTTGTTTCCCTAAGACATGAAGTGTAATTTCTGACCTGAAATATTTTGAGAATTCAAAATATCACAAGAGTGTTCACAGATGTTTTCTCCCTTATTAACCCAAAGAGAGTTGCTTGTCTCCAAGAAGAAAATGAAAAATTGAAGGCCAGACTCAAGACCATAGAAACACAGGTAAATTAGCTCAGACTTGGATACCTCATGCTGTTATTATCAGAGTCCTGTGGTTGTTTTTCTTAACATTTTCAGTTAAAATCTGTTTCTGAGGTTTTACATTGTCCATGTATCACAGGCTACAGCTGCACTAGAGGAGAAGTCCAAGCTGGAGAAGTCACTGAAGGATTTACAGGCGATCCAAGGAGATCAAAAGGTAAATGTCATTAAGTTCATTTAACACACTGGTTGCCTGTAGATCTAAACAGTTGCTCTGTAGGGTGTATTTCTTTTCTGGCATGTATATTCACAATATCATTGTCACATTCCTACTGTTTCTGCTGTTCTGTCCCTTAGCACATTATCCAGCACGTTAGTTGGTGCTGTGACATTTATTTTGTCACTTAGACCATGGTCATTTATTATCAGAAGGTATTCCTCCAGGAAGCAGCATTCCAGAGTTTGTATTCTCAGGTGTGATGTTTGTATGAACAGATACAAATTTAGTTCCTTCCTGTTCACCCATGAAAGATTGAGATCTGACCTGGGCTTTGTAGCACCAATAAATACTAATTCTTCTAAGCATCTGTCACACTTGATACTGCCCTGGACAAGCCAGAGGTGCTTGTTTCTCCTTCAGACTTTAAAAGTGTAAATATTTACACATGGAGTTTTGCTACAGGCATCAATGACCATGAGTCAGATGGCAGCTGTTTGCTTCTAGGTACTTCTGCCCACACTGCATACTGTCAGAAATGGTTCACCACTTATTTTTACTACTTGAGGTTAATCTTTTGTTGTGAAGGAGGATTCAAATGTGATGAGTTGCTGCTGCAGAAAACCCACATAAGAGTCTAGAAGTTGTGCAGGTCCACACAGAAATCTGGTCAGGTCACCTGGGTAATCTTTCAAGTTCATACCTTTATTTGTCAATAGTTGGAGTTCTCTAAAGTTTTTTCATGTGTGATTGAACTGAAATGTTTTCAGTTTATGAAACAAAGTTTTAACAAAATAAAAACAATTTAATGCTGTTAGTTTGAGAAACTGACTTTTTAAAATTCCTGCAGTAGTCACAGATTTGGAAGTGAAGTTCAGTATCATGAAACATTTCCACTTTAATTTTCATATTTTAATCCTGATTTCTTTTTATTTTGCTTGCTAACTGGTTTATGGTATGTACTTGGCTTTCTTAACACTTTCTAATTTTGTCTAGTAACTTTCAAAATCTGTATTCAATAATATGTCATAGGGAACTTGATCCATCAGTCATGGCAAATATTTTCTTTATGTGTTTTGTTAAGGCTTGAGTCATTAAAGGTTTAAAATATTAAAGGGTTTTATTAAATCCTGGATAATAGTGTTTGTAGTTTCAAAAGATTGGAACCAAATCTCATCCTGCTTTCCTGTTAAACATGAGCTGGCCTCAGTGTCAGGGCTGTGGAGTGTCTTCAGCTTTCATCTTCTAATTTGCTCTTAGTCACTTTCCAGCTTTTACATTTTCTATTTACAGACTTATATTGGTTGCTGAAACTAGCTAGTAGGTATAGTACTGACGTGTACTACTCTATTTAATCAGTTCAAGCACTAGTTGGTTGGAGTTTTGCTGAGTTTTGTCTGGTTTACTCTGTTTCTGTCAGAGGGGTGTCTGTAGAACCCTGTGAATGCAGTTGCTGGTCAGAGCAGCAGTGTTGAGGCTCTTGGGACAGCCAAACCACAGTGCTGCTGAAGGACCACCTCTCACCTCAGCACATTTCTGCCTTCTTTTTTCTTGTGGGTTTTTTTAAGGGTTAAAACAGTTCCCCACACCAGGTGTGAACCACAGTTTAGGAGTAACTGCTCTGCTGGATCAGCTTAACTCGAGGGTTTCCAGTTTTTATATCATTGCACTTGATATTCTAAAAATCTCTTCTCTTGCATTTGACATATTTGAAATATTTCTTCTGTTGAAGACTAATGGAAACCAGGATATTGCTGAACTGGAGAATAAAGTGGCAGCTTTGAAGTCCCAGTTTGAGAAGACTCTGAATGATGCTACTGAAAACCAGAAATTCATGGAAGAGGACTTGGTGACAACAAAACATGACTTGCTGAGGGTTCAGGATCAGCTGTCCACAGCTCAAAAGGTCAGTTGCTGTGTAGAGGTGAGATCCTCACTCACATTTAACTGGTGACTGGGGTGATGAGCACAGGCTGCAGAGTTTCCTGGCTCACACTTGTTCCTGTTTGTGTATTTTTGTTATTTCAGTGGAAAGAGACGTTATGTGTAAAAGAGCAAAACCACAAATACCTGTGTGATTATAACTAGGTGAACACTTAAACATTGCCTGTTTGTCTGCATAGAAATTTTTGACTGAAAAGTGTATTCCCTGTCTTCACAAGGCTTTTAACCTCATTGCATTAGAAAATAAAGTCAGTGTGTCTCTGACTCTCCCAGAAATCTCCATTCAGTTTACTCGCTGACTTCACCTAAATTTGAGGAAGGCAGAGAAACTAAAGTTCTGAGACTTGAGGAGGAAAAGCAACTCCTCTTTTTCGAAGCCATCTCAGCCTGGTTTTCATCCTAGGTAAATAATCTGTTGGTGATGTTGCTGTTCTGCAGGAGCTGGAGAAGAAATTCCAGCAGACGGCCGCCTACCGCACCATGAAGGAGATTCTCAGCAAGAAGAACGAGCAGATAAAGGAGCTGCGTAAGAAGCTCTCCAAGTGAGTGGTGCTGCTCTGCCTCTCCCAGTGAGAGCCTCCTCCTGCCTCTGGCTTCTGCTCCCAGCTTGGTTTACCAACCTGAAGCTGCAGACTCCAGTCTGTAAATTTTTTCCCTTAAAAATAATTCCTAGTAGGCCGTCCCCTGATTTTTTTGTCAAGCCACTCCCGTTGATGGGTGCTGGGGGAATGGGTTTCTCTTCCCCAATGATCCCGTTGATGGGTGCTGGGGGAATGGGGCTGGTGTGTGCTGCAGCAGCACCCAGGGAGCAAGCAACAAGAGAGTTTAGTGTGCAGAGGACACACAGTGTTCATGAGCTTGGGCAACGTGGATGCCTGAGAGCTGTGCTGGAGAAGGACAGAGGCAGAACTTGGAACTCCTGTTTAAATTTCGGCCTGGACTTTGGGATCTGTGGGTAGGTTCCTGCTCATTCCCCCACTCCACTAGTTGTTAAACTGGCCAAAAGGAGAAAATAGTTTAAAAAGTGTCTACACTTGTCTGGGCCCTAAGTCATAGAGTGAACCCTGACAGGGATGCATCACTAGTGGCAGTAATTTATTGCTGGGTTTCATATTTTCTTTGGAGACAAAACTGTCTTCTGGGTATTTTCTACTCTGTTTGAATGATTATTTACTGATCTATTTTTAACCCTCAGGTATGAGCCAGAGGACTAAAATACCAAAATCATCTGATCTATTGGAAGCTGCCATTGAAAGAAAATGTAGACTGGTATTATTTTTAATAATTTTTGTTTTGAAGGGTATATTTTTTTGCTTCTAGTGCTTAAAATATCTTTTTATCAATACTAATAACAGACTGAAACTCCCACCTTACTTCCTTGTGCACCTACAGTTTACCAGTATTAGTTTCTGTAGTCATGTTTTTAATTGTTAACCATCAACATTCCTTGAGAAAGAGCAAAGAGGAGCTTACTGAAAAACTGAGATCATTCCCTACAAAGAAAGGAATTCATTTTTGTGAAGAGAAGGTGGGGGGGGAAGGCAGCAAAAAAAAGCATTAGGGTTTTTTGGTGTCTCTGAGGTGGAAGCTCCAGTTGTTACTTTTGCCAATCCAGCCACGAAGCAGCATTAGATGTGGAAATTCCATCCCTGGGAGTAAAAGGGAAGGAAAAAAGCAAGAGGTGATGTGGTTTCACACTGGAGCTGCCACACCTGCAGTGAAATGTGGTCAGTAACCTTTTGCTGGAGCATACTCCTGAGACAGAGAGGTAAACAGGTTACAGTGGCAGCACAGGACCCTTGCAGCTAAAGCCACCATTTGAAATTAGGCTTTTTCACTCAGATTTGTTTGAAACAAATTTGAAGGTGAGAAGACAGATTCTGATCTTGCCAGTGATCTTATTGTTAAGGTGATAATCTGAAAACACATAAAGGAGTTGCTAATGGAGCAGCTCTCTTGGGAAATGAGATTTTAGATGTTTTCATCCCCTTTCTTGGTGTAACCTCAGCAGAAAGCTCAAGATTCTCTCAAGTCTTTTCCTTGTAATCCTCTGCCTTGTGTTTCTCTGGCAGCCCCTCAACAGTGCACTCTGTGTGTTTGTCTGTCCCTGTTTGTAGGTATGTTGTATTTTACTCCCAATAAAACCATTATGTTTTCAAACATTTCACCTTCAAGGAGCTGTGTTTTTTACAGGGGTGTTTTGTATCCTCTTTTTGTAATACCTGTAGAAGGGAGGGGCAGGATTGTTTTTGTACAGTCACTGAAAAGTTCTTAATAGACACATACCCAAGAGGTCTCTGACCTGTGTTTGCTCAGAGCAATTGTGTTCTCACCAACAGGAGGACTTGTCTGGGTGAATGTGGGTTTTGTTTGTCAGAAAAGGGCAGCTCACGACTGACAGCTGCTGGTGAACAGGAGAGCTGGCCAAAGACCTCCCCAAACCACAGGCAAGCTCTGACAGAGAGCAGGAGCTGGCAGGAGACAGGCAGAACTGACTGAATAGGCCACATTTATTGCCTTTTAAACCAGCTTGTGGCTCTTTCTTTTTCTCTGTTCCTGAAGATAAGGCCTCAGCTCCCCCCCAACCCAAATGAAGGAAGTTCAAAGGAGATAAAATCTTGAACAGTTCCAGAAATAGCAGATTGATTACCTGAGGTCCTGCAGCAACAGCTCCTGAGTGTAACCTGTTAAATACCTCTGACTACACATAAAGGCTGTGCCTGAAGCAGCTGCTGGGTGTCTGTGTCCATGACCACCTCTCAAACCCCAGCCAGTGACCCCCACTGCTGAGGATTCACTTCACTGCTCCCAAAGTGCTGCTGCTCCTGCCCTGGCTGAGGAGAGCACCCCCCTCCAGGGGTGAGGCAGCTGGGAATGCAGGGGAGGAGGCACAGAGCCAGGGCAGGCTGCAGCTGGGTGCTGCTCCCCAGGAGCATCCCTAGGGCTGGGCTGTCTTCTGAGGCTGCCCTGGCTGCGAGCTGTTAAATGCTCCAAGTTCTTCCTGAGCATCGTTTATAATGCCTGCCACTGCCTGGGCAAGTTATTTAATTTTTCATAGTTTGCAAAAGTGTTCCTGATCTGGGCCAGCTGCCCTAGCCAGAGCTTCTCCCTGTGTGTCCTTCAGCTTAACAGCCTGTGGCTCTAAAGTCACCGTGGGTTTTTCCTTCCAGCAGAGCTCGGGGTCACCCCTGGGCCCTGTCCCCACGCCAGCTGGCCCGGGGCAGTGCTGGGAGCAAGGCAAGGGTGCCACAGAAGAGCCTCAAACCTGCACCCTGGCAGGGTTTGGTGAACTCTGATGTTTTGGTGGCACCCTCTGTTTCCAGCAGTGGTAAAACAGGCCGTGAAGAACAGACTCACTGACAGGAGATGCTGGAACCTCTCACAGTCACCTCTTCCAGCACGCAGAGAAAGCAGCACCTCCCTTTGGGGCTGGGCTGCTCAGCAAAGCCACCACATGGCCTGGGCAGTGCCCAGCACACTCTGCAGCTTGGGCTCCTGGCCAAAGCCCCGTGGTGGGGGTGTCACCCCCAGCTGGAAGCCCCAGCTCTGCCAGTCCCTGCTGGGGTGCTGGAGCCGCACGCGGCGCTGGCGGGGACCAGACCTGAAAGGTGCCCGGTGCT